CTTTTGGTACATACTGGGTAAACTACATGTACCGTAACTTTCCTATGCAAAGTTTTACTGGTACTTGAGTCGGTACACTTCACCAGTTACGCTTTCCTGAGAGTATTTAAATGAAGTTTTGGAGGTTGGACACCAGATGAGATACACTTCTTCCCAAAATAATGTAACCAATCAACGATGCATTGAAATATTGACTTGTTTGCCTCAAACATTTCTGTCTTGTTCTTCGGCCATTTGTTACTTTAGTGAAGTACTGAGTTGAGGTACATGTAACATTAACACCGATATTTGTGACACTTTCTTCACATGAAAACACTTGAGATCATTATTTCTTGTGCCTGACTTGAGAAACTAAGTCTGCAAAAACGGAAGACGCTCATTTTCGAAAAGTACATGTCAACCATGTGCCGTTTTTCTGTGGGTAACATTGGGTCAGTTTTAATGATGATGCACACATTGTAATCATGCCATCATTGTAGGCTTCCCAGAGGGGAAAAAATGGCAATGACTTGGCAAAGTACACTGTACATGTACTGTACATGCTTTATGTACATGCTTTATCGTTGCATAGAGTTAGAGACAGACGTGACCTTTTCTTGCTGTCATGATCGGCCGGTTGGTTGGTGTTGAATCATTTTGAATTACAGCCTGTATCGCAGGCTTGATCTCGAGCCTGACGTTGTAAGACATAGTACGGTAGGCCCTGCCAAGTGACAAGGGCAGGAGGAAGCAAGCTCTCCCCTTGACTCGAGGGGCCCTCTAGCCTCCAGAGTCCCTCCCCTGAATCAGCTCCTGGAGATTAGGCAGTCGTATCAGGAAAGAAAACAGGCTTGAGGTCCTTCTCTCTTGATTAAACGTCTATCAGGTTTCTTGGCTGTGAAGGCTACATGTACATGTACGGTGTAGGTGCACAGGATGGCCTAGTTGCAGGGCAGTTATAGCAGAGATGGCTGTCTAAGTTTGCAAGGTCTGAAGATGTCTGAGGGGAAATGGATCTCTGGGTGTTTGTGGTAGCCAGCAACTCGCTTGGCGGATCCAGGATAAAAAATTGTGGGACTGGCAAAAATAACCCTTTGGGTCAATTTCACATATGAGCCTGTTTGTATATTCCAACAGCACAGTCCAAAATGAAGTGTGTCCTCTGTCCAAAGCCATTCAGGAACAGCAGTACATGTACAGTGTACAGTGTATGTATGCGTGAGGTCTGCCCTACCATAGAGCAAGCTGGCCCTACTGTTTCAGCACACATGGATAATTTAAGAAACTTGGGGTTTTTTTTGGTGTCCCTGTCACATTTGACATATGAGTTTGTAAGTTCAGAGTGATGAATTAATGCAAATTGCCTCCCAAACAAATAGTAATAGTTTGAAATCAATTTCCGGTGATATTTCCATGGCAAATACATGTAACCAAGATCAGATGTAACAGGGACCTGAAAAGGTCACACTTTTGGACCCCTAGTTTCTGGAATTACCCAGACGGGTTTGTTCTGGAATGACCTTGCCTTTCTGAAATACCAAACTGGCTGGTTGCTAAGTTTTCTGAGCCACAGAAAATATTTACTGGTACTTGGCAAAAACCGGTTTCCAGTTGAAAGGTCATGTTCTGTGTGATCATGTGTACATGTAACTGGTTCTTGGCTAATTACATGTATTGGTTTTGCCAAGACTTTTTTACTTTTCTTTTTTTTTTTTTAAGTTTTTTTCCTTGAATTCCCATCAACTTTTCATATTTTGTACAAACGATTGTACAAATCTGTATTTACGCACATGCAGACATGTATTGTGCATCGTGATAAAAGATTTGCTTGTCTGCTCCACATTGTGACTGCTGGGGCCACTTTGTTCCTTTCTAAACCATCAAGGTATCCACTCATCCATTAAAGTCAACCCTTCGACTTCAGCCTCACTGTCACAAAGGTTTAAAAAAAAAAACCTCTCCATATATACTGACAAAACAGCAGTCTCTTGTCAAGGGAAACAACCTTTATTTAATCTTAAGTAAATTACAAATGTAAACCCAGCCAGTGTACATACAAACATCCTAGGGGCTTGATGAACAAACAAAATTGAGGAAAATAAGCTCCCTGACTAGACAAAAGCAAAGAGTGGTGGACAAGGCAACCAAAGGGCTTTGTGAAATCGCTGGCAAATATTTGTAAGGTTCCCCGTCAGGATTGGTCAATATTTTATCAGTTTGGGTTTTTTCGGTTGGTGTGTGGGTGCTGGGCTGTCGGCTTGCCGGATGGAATTTGTCGGTTTGTCGGTGTGCACGTTCACCAGAGAAATGAATGCTAGTTACAATGGTCTGGTACCAGTATGTACATACAGTGAAGGTGGGAATATATGTTAAATTTGAAAAACATTCAGAAAACTTTCCCATACCAAACGGTCCACTCTTAACATGGTGTCATTGGAAACTTTATTATACAACAAAGTGTATACAATGTAAATAGTCAACACCAAGTTCCGGTGATGAATTCATGGTATTCCTTTGATCTGACCGAGCAGTAAAGTGTTCTGAAAATCAGATTACCTTTTACAGGCATCGTTTACATAAAAAATGAATGCCAGATTTCGTCAATCAATATATCAAACCTCTTAAAGGGGTGGTTGGAAAATTTGTAAACAGATTTAGAATTTTTTTTCATTTAAATGTGTAAACGTCGCACCCTTCAGATACATACAGTTGGTGTTGGAAAGACGTTTTTCTGCTCAATGGCTACGGATGTTTACTGCATGTGTCAGTGTAGAAACTTAAGCCATAGCTGCTGAACAGCCAGCTGGAACGCAGGTCACTTATCATAAGATGCACCTGTACTCTATCCAAGCCATAACATTATACACGTTTATAACGCAAGGGTACTTGTGTATGTGATCCTCACACATCATACATGTACATGTAATTGTAAAGCACCGGTTAATCACACTGTATTCAACTTCACTGCTTCTCATTGATACCTTTGGATCCTTCAAACGCTTGTGTAAATGTTTTGGTTTGGCTTACATTTGGCCTCCCTGCCTGACACCAGTTCACCCCCACAAAAATGCATCTGGACGCTTGTTCTGCCGGCCACATCCGACCGCCGTTGGTGCAGTGACCATTGTCCGAGCTTGACCGTCAATGTTTAGTCACAATCTGGTTTGTTGACTTCCTGATTGTGCAGGAAATGGAGATAGAGGGGTGGGAGGCAGGGGCGACCGCTTGTCAACTGATTGCTGTTTGCCTTCCTGCTTTGGATATACTAATTCTGTTTGGGGTTTAGTGGTTCATTTTCTTCGCATGCAAGCTTGGGCCAAAAGTTGTTTTAGGAATACTCATGAATAATCATACATGTAAGTGTGCATACTGGTACCTGTACTGGGATTGGTGAAAAGTTAAAGTGAATAACATGAATAATTCATGAGTATGCACGTTACCGGTACCAGTACATACTTTTGCATTGGTATTGGAAATGCATGGTACCCGGTACATGTACATGTAGATGAAGTCATGAATAAGTCATGAGTGATTACTCAACTTGCAGGGGAGAGAGTAAACATTCCGGCCATTAGGAAATTTTTTCACCCTGATATTTCTGTATACTATGATTCAGAATAAACATCTTATAATTACATAAGGTATTCTTATTTCACCAGGGTTGAGATTTCTCGGCTTTTTAGCTGATTTCAGCTTTTTTTGTTTTGATTTCAGCTTTTTTTGATCACTGGCTGTGTACAAAAGTATAGGAGATTTTCACATTTCAGCTTCTTTATGCCTTTTTCAGCTGTTTTTATCATTGGTCAAACCCCTGTTTAACATAAGGTATCAGATCTTTGTACAGGTATATGTATGTTTTTTCTGTAATTTGTGAAGAACTGCTGAGGATTAGGCTTATGAAGATGGAAGTCGACTGAAATTTCTTCCCACCAATTGACAATTGGAAATTCAAATGGAAGAATGAAACATGTAGTTAGTGATCAATTCACCTGTTCAATCGATGGACTTTTTGTAAAGGGAGCAGACCGTTCTTTAGAAATTGTATAGCAAGCTGTTAATTGCCGGTTTTATTCTGTATTGTAAGCATTGCAGGTCATGAAATTTAACGTACAGTGTAAAGCGAAAACTTATGTTGTCTCAAATTTTGTGATTTGATTGAGTATTTACATGTACATGCAGAGGTACAGGGTGAGCTGTAGAAATTGGCATGACTGAGCAAAATTTCCGAAGGGGTACCCAGGGGTGCACACATTTTTGTTTTCAAAGAGGCACCAACAGCAAATGAACTGTGGAGTGTACGTACTTGTGCATAACATTTCAAAGGTGTAAATGGGAAGGGGAGGGGCATAGACTTGTCGGGGGGGAGGGGGGTTCTGCCACTGAAGAAGCTGCCTCTCGGGAAATGGGTCTGTGACATCAGCTTGGGGCGTCAGTAGTGTACTGTTGGTCAGTGAATTCTGCAGGTCCTTCTGAATAGCCACAAATTGGCGCTACAGTCTGGCCTTGGGACTTTTGATTGCCCAATGGAAAATGAAGAGCTTCCTTCCTTCTGGAGTTTGTTATCATAGGGATTGAAGACTAATGCCCTAGTCCCAACATTTACTGGGGGATGGAAGGGCTGTTTTTGTCTGTGTGTGTTTTTTTTGGACAGAGAGGGAAAGAACCCTATGGTATATGAAGGTTAAATGCTCCCCCAGACTGAGGCATGTTTGTCTTTGGAGGAGATTCTTGCAAGCAGGAATGCACACCTTTAACAATGAAGAATATGGATGGATTAGAGAATGAGCCCTTGCTGGGAAGATAATGTACATGTACTGTGTATGCTCGCTGTTAATTACTTTTTCTGTTCACATTTGAAGCAGATAAATCCCTACAAATCTGCCTGAAGCCATGTGTACGTACCCTACAGGAGGAAAAGAACTCATTGCCTTGCACATCTACCGGTAGTTACCCTATTATAAGTCGAGATACTTGCATAAAGAACAGAAGGATAATCCTTTGTGTTATTTATTTTTTTGCAGGCACAGAAAGCTGAACATCTTCGTTCAACCTGCTACCTGAAGATATCCCACAATGCCTTGTGGTCTAGCATGGCTCCCCATCCTCTCATCTGTAACCTCCCTTGGAACCATCATAGTAACGTGAGTTCTCCATATTCCACGTCCTTCACTGTTCGTATTAAGTACATGTCATTCATTTTGTTTCACATACCGGGTACATGTAGATCAGTTTAACAGAGCCATACCTCATATGTAGGTTTGCACTGAGGCTGAAAATACTTTGTGCACAGGTGCATATGTAACAGACCTGACTCACGGGAAAAAAGGTTTGGGAAGGTACCGTTCATGCCTCCTCTTGATCCAGTACCCCTGTGAGTATTCTGTGCAGAGAGCAAATTTTGAGCCAGCCTCGCAACTTTGAAACCACACAGTCACAAGTGAACCTCATTACCATCACCCATTTCTTGTAAGAGATCTAATTGGGATACCTTCACAGCGTGAAGTGGTGCGGATCCAGGGACCCTTGGAACTTTTCTGTTACCAACTGATCGATTTGCCTGTCCAAGCACCCTAAGTGTGCCAGTTTCCAGTCTTTGCAATAGCCCCCATCTTGCTGCTGCATATTGCTCCCCCCCATCGCACCCTGCTGCTTCTGAGAATAGCTGTCCTGTTGTGCAGCACAGCCTGAAGAGGTCACCGAAGCCTCTGTCCTTCCGGCTTGCTATCTAATCATTATCATCCTCTTCAGTCCAATTAGCCGGGATTGATACTAATTAAGTAGGATTTAACACAGGGCAATGAATGGAAGTCTTTTCAGCCAATTTTATAATGTTGGAGACTCACTTGGAAAGGACTGAGTGCCAAACAGCAGCATTTAACTGAATTTCAATGACTGACAAGGAAGCCGAACTATGCACCTCTACATGATGAGGATTTTATTCATGTTGAAGCCATCGTTTTGAAGGACTTTGTTGAATCTCTGGCGTGGATGGTGCTTAGATTCGTTGTTAACTCAGTCGGATTCTTCACATGAATTGAAATGAAGCCAGTGCATTGAGAGGCTTTTCTTCCCCCTGGGGAAAAGTTATTAGAATCAAAGTGGTATTGCATTTTATTGAGCAGTGTGGTTAAATTTGTAGACTGTCAAGAACTTGAAGGCACCTGCTCCCCTGAATTGGGTCGGGCAAGAACCCATGTACCTCCAGTTTAGTGTTTTATATGTAGCCCGGTCGAGATACCACGTGCAAAATGGGTACATGTTTGTAAAGCAGATACAAAGCCAGCTGTCCAGATAATAACCTTTTGTTGAAGAAAAGAGGGCACTGTGTATTCGAAGTACTTTGTGTTCAAGTTGGCTTGCATCCCTCCCCGCCCTTTCCACGCAACAAATGTTGGAGGGCACTTGAAGTCGGAGACACACTTTCCGAAGTTCCAACAACTAGAGCTCCAACCTTCTCTTGAGATAATTACAGACTTCAAATATCCTTTGTGCACGGTGATTAAGACATAGAAATAGTTTATAAAAGTCCATAAAGGACCAGAGGCGCCTAGATATCCCAAACTGGGTCAGGCAATCACCTGAAGTCACCTCATTTTTATGGTTATCGACCACCCAGACGAGGCAAAGTTCAGACAGGACTTCACAGTGCAGATAAAACCTTTTGTTGAAAAGAGGTACATGTA